GGCTGACGTTTCGGGTCTAGGCCCGAAACGTCAGCCTTCCTGCTCCTATGATGCTGCTTCGCCTGCTGTGTTCATCCAGCTCTGCACCTTGTTGTCCCTACCTTCCAGCTGACTCCTTTTTCATTATTTAGGACAGGGTTGAATTTTCACTGTTTTAGATTGTGGCCTCTTGATGTATTTGTGTTGCCTTGACATTCTGTGCCTTTGTGCTATTAAATATAGACTATATATCATTGCTTTCCATTGTATAGTTTGGAAGCGTGCATCAATCTGAAAACCTTAAACACCAATTAGCAACATTAGTAGCAATACCCTTTGATTAATATTGAATTTTTATTGTTGCAATTTGCAAACATGTAGCTGTGTTCCTGTGTCATTCCACAGAATGCCACTGCCAGCTAAATCTTCCTGAAGTTTAATGCCCAAAAATGTCACTCTTAAAGTTTACCCAATTGTAAAACTGCCTCTGGTACTTAGAAAAAGGAAAGTGCTCTTTTTTAAATTGATAAGACTACAGAGGAGTATTTGAAGATTGCTAAGAGTTTTGTATTGTTGCATAGTGGAAGAGTGTAGTGGAAGAGTGAGAAGTATTTGTTTTTTTTTGTTGAATTGCCAATTTTAGTTTCCTTTTGCACCTCTGTCCAAAGTCCAGTTTTATTAAGTAGACCAATTTAAAGTGAGTGTTGATGGTTTCTCAGACATGGCAACCTACCTTCATTAGGTAACCACCTGTCTAGCCTGTGATTTCCACTTGCTTTGTAAGACTGCTATCCGGAGTGGGAATGTTGCTGAGCGCTCCCGACAATGGGCGTGAAAGCATGAATTAAGTTTGCTGCTAACTGCACATAATCTGTGCTGAAGAAGTTGATTTCAGTCACAACATGAATCTGTGGTTAGGTGGTTTTGAAAATCTCAGTTCTAGTGTATACCTTGAATTTTTACTTTTTTTTCCCCCCACAGTGCTGCTTGCTGCTATTTCAATATAACTTAGCTGTAATCAGAGACACATTAAGAAAGAAGTATTTGTCATTTACTAGCTTTTGATTAAAATATAATGTCACAGAAGCTTACGTAGGCAAGAATCTAAAGTGAACCCATTTCATACTTGGGTGTGTGAAAAGGAATGTGTTTTTAGGTTTCTTAAAGTTGGACTGATTTTTTGATATCATAATTAAAATGGTTAAACCTTATTTGATGATCAAATTATGAACATTATTTTTCAAAAGAGGTAGAAGCAGATACCAGAGCAATGTTTGAGGCATATAGACAGACACATGAATAGGCAGGGAATAAAGGGATAGGGACCCTGGACAGGCAGTTGGAATTAGTTTAGAATGGCAGCATGGTTGGCATAGACATGGTGGGCTAAAGGACCTGTTCCTTTGCTGTACTGTTCTATGTTCTATACTTTGCCTTCTACTGATCAAGCTGACATTGGGAGGCTGAATATTATCTCCTTTATAAGTACAGATTTATTTCAGATATGGGCGTTTCTTGGGCATCTCATCCAAGTGGTCACAGAGCACTGCTATTGCTGCTCTTAATAGTCTGTTGCTTTGTATTTTCCATAGTGTTTTATGCTACCTATTCCATCATTTGTAATGTTGCTTGCAAAGGATTCAGTTGCTGGAAACTGCTGAAGATAAACATTTGTGATACAATTTTTTGGGCTTTCTAATGGCTTATCTTTAGTTTGTAGCCCGATTTTAAGGGCATTACACTTGATATCGAGGTCCTTATGTTTTTGAGAAATGATTTATTTGGATGAGATGTCTGAGAGTTACAATTGAAGTAAATCTGTGTCTTTGCAAGAGAAACATAGTGGGAAGATTTTGTCAACTGTAGTTGCCTATTTATATGCTTGCTTTGCACTGAACTAAGTATAAGGAAAATATTGAAGCAGAATGGTATTTAGATCTAATGTATGCATATGGGTTGGTGCTCATTTAATATTTAATCCATTACTGTTTCCAGATTTTTTAGCATCAGTGCAGGTATGTTTCGCTTGCAAGTGAAGCGGTGAGACCAAACGTAGACTAGGCAGCTGTTTTGCCGAGCATCACTGCCTGGCCTGTAATGGCCAATCTAACCTCCCAGCCACTGCCCATTTCAACTCCCCTCTGATATGTCTGTCCTCGGCCACCTCCAGTGTCGCAGCGACTGGGAACGCAAATTTGAAAAACAGCACCTTATCTTTTGCCTGGTCACCCTACCGTCCAGATGACTCGACATTGAATTCTCCAATTTCAAATAACCTTCCCACCCATCCCCTGCCTGCCCTTCCAGCCACACCTCCTCCCTTCCATTCCACCTTCTGACCCTCCCTACCAGCCACCCACCGAATTCATCCCTCCCATTGACC